CTGCAAACTTGCAAGAATTTCGGGCTCTTACTGAAAACATGCAGCAGCAAATCCAAGCCCTTAATTCAGTTATAAACAGTATGAAAAATGAGAATCGGATTGTCCTTGACTCTATTTATCAAGCTATGCAAGCCCAGATACAAGATGCCTTCCATAAATTAGATATAGCCCAGGATCATATTATGGCATAGAGAAAGGGTAATAAGCCTTTCCCTGAGGACTGCAGGAGGGCAGAGTTAGAGGAGGAGGAATATTATTTGCTTAAAACCTTAAACCCTTCAGGAAAGAATTGTTCCCTGCATAGCAAAGCCCCTCCTTGTGGAAACTCCTAAGGCTTCTGTGGAAACTCCTAAGGCTTATGTAGATACTCCTAAGGCTCCTGTGGAAACTCCTAAGTTTTCACAGCCTCCACTGCCTTCTGGAGAAGGAACTAACATGCCTTCTCCGTCCCATACTAGCCGGGGCACCCGGAAGTAAGAATCACCCTGAAGCAGGGCAGTTCCCTCTTAGACGTATGGCAGTGGGTGGCTTAAATGCACAAGGACAGCCTGCTGGGTATTTTTAGTCACACAATCCTTTTAGCACAGCAGACCTCTGTTCCTTCTTATAGGCAGGATCCTAAGAGGATGGCGAACTTGTTTGCCTCTATCTTTCTCTCTCACTGTCCTAATTGGGCAAATATCCAGTTAATGTGAATTGGTTGGGGGAAGTCCACAGGGATTACAACTGAGATGAAAAAATGTATAAAATGAAGAATGATGAGTATACACACACACACGCACATATACACACATTTATATAATAAAATAAAAAAGAATGGCAAAACAAGTGTATTTCATCAATTATGTTAAAACTTTCTCATTAAAGACTCTGTGCTCCAACTATAATAATATTTATTCCAAAACAAGGTTCAAATCTGATGTGAGTCTTAAGTTTATTTTTATTTCTTTTTCAAGGACTGTACAAAACAAAGACATTCTTGACTTCTTGCAGAAAGTTTGTCATCCACATGTCCCAAACTTGCAGCCATGTGATCAACTGTTGAGAAACCTACAATGTCAGATACCTTTTCTGTTACACATGTGGTACTCCTGTGAGCACAGTGGGTAGGATTTGGCTACATCTGATAAAATGTTTACCGTTACTCAGCTAAGGGGTTTTAGAGCAGTAAGTGTGTGATGGTCCCTGTACAGACTTTGCATCCTGTTTTCATAAACTGTATCCTTAGTAATTGACCAGGTTGCATCTCAGGAAGATTTAAAATGACTCATCATCTTACAAGTTCTTTAGTAAGCTAATGATTTTAGAAAAATATTTGTGTTAAAAACCTAATTTCAATATGAGTTTTTCAATAGTAGCAATGGAAGAAGATAAGTAAATGTATTTTTCTCTTTAGCATGAAGTACAAAAATAATCTCTTGGTAAGCTTTTATAATTTTTGTTTATTTGTTTAGTTTCCATTTCAGTTTGCAGGTATTTAAGAATTTAGAGGAAAACTGTGGTGAACAGGTATTTGGAGTCAGGCCTAGAATAAAATCTTAGCTCTTCTATTCACTAGATGTAGCTGCGTGATCCAGAAAAATATATTCAATTTCTTTAAAGCTAAGTGGATTCATTTGTAAAACTGAGAATAATAGTACCTACTTCATTGTATTGATGAATCTTAATTTAAATAAAAGGCTGCAGGTTAGTTACACTGTGTGGTGCTTAAGAAACAGTGAAAATATTAGAATGAGAAATAGTATGAATGTCACTAAGTGGGATACATGGAAGTCTTTTATTGTCCAGATTTTCCTCCCTCCAAAATAGAATCAAAGTGATGTGAAGTAAACATGATTCATGGCAGTCTTGTTTACACTATTGAGAAATTATATTTTCTCCCTCTACATGTTATCTAATTTTGTCCTAAAACATTTCTTGATAACTTTGTTATCTCTGGGTGCTTTTGCATTCCTGAGATAAAACAAGTGCTGATTGCTGACTTTACTGTAAAGATAAAGATAGTAGACCTTATTTGACTTACCATGAAAGAACTAAAACCCATTTACACATATCAAAGGAAAAACAATGAACACAAAATTCAGACAAAAACATATATGTTATGAAAGATTAACATCAAAGGTCTAGAACATGAAATTTTTCCATTAGCCAAAATGAATTAATGTGGAAGAGGATAAGGAAATCAAGCTTTTGACTTTACTAGTCACATAAAATAATTAGAACATTCAAAAATGTGTGAAGGGTCTCCCTTTGCACAAGAGTTAAGTCTCAGAGCTATCAAGCTATGGATAGCTTTCCCCACCAGGGAGCTGACCCACAGATACAGCAGACCTCTCCTGTCGTGCCCACTGCTCCCCCTAGGCAGTATATTTCAGTAGATCTGTCTATTTTGCTCCTATTCTGTCTCTGGTGAATTCTCTTACCCCCCCTCCCCACCACAGTTCTGGTTTTACATTCCAACTCTTGTATGCATAAATAAATACAACATTTTAAAAATGTGTGAAGTTTTTCCTCTAATTAAGTAAAGCCATCAAGTCTGTAATTAATGTTATTATTGTAATTCTGTTGATACAGTAAAAGCTATTAATATTATAATAAAACTTATTTTAAAGTATTATGTTGAAATTTTTTAGAAAGGTCTAATACAGAGTAGGTACTAAATGGACCACACAAATATGACTGAGTAAATTCCTGTAAAGTGTAGTTAGATGTTTGTTCTATCCTAGGAATATCTTAATGCTATAAGTGCTATAAAACAAATAGAAAATCTAAGGAAATAAGACACAAACCCATGATACAGATACAAATGCCACATATGATTAAGTATAATTAAGTTTAAAACATTATCACCTCACTTCCTGTGCTTTGGTATTTTTCTGGAATTGCTATTAATTTGTAATCTAAACTAAAGTTGTCAAATCAACAATAACTGATATACCATTCAAAAGAGACTTCATATCTTATAGAGAAAATTATTTCAGATAAAAGGAATTCACATGTGTGGTATCCTAGGGAGTCACAATTCAGTTTGGAAGGCCTATATGTGTCAGTTGTGATGTCTAGCAGGTCAAGAACTAAATTTGAAACTTCCTATTCATCACCTTCCTCTTTTTTTTCTTTCTTTTCTTTTCTTTTTTTTTTTTTTTTTGATGTGGGGCCCAAGTCAGACTACTCTGCGGCAAACAAGCTATGATGAAATACAGTAGGTCTGCTCTGAAATGCTCTGGCTTCCATTACAAAGAAGCATCTATTCTTTGCTCACCGGGAAGCACAAAAGATGCTCTAAAATTCCAAGAACTAATCATTGAGTGAACCAGAAAACAGGGTTCCAGTGTTAAAGACCACTTCTCCGGTTTACATTATTCAAAGTTAGGGTGTTGTATAAAGTTCACACACAAACCAAAGGGTTCATTTGATTATAAGTTCAGTTCAAAAACAGAAATGAGTGTAGATCCCAAGATTTGTTGGAAGAATTGAATATTCATTATCTGAAAGGAAACATCACACTGTATTTATTTTTCTATAATAAACCTAGTGTTTTACAAAGCTATCCTTAGTTTCTTAAGTATGGTTGGGTTCACAGAGGAAATTTACTTCCAAAAAGCAAAGTCTCTATATTTTATCTGGAATGGGTAATGAAAATCTTGCTGCTTAACTGCTCAGGGAAAGGATTAATTTATACTCTAAGTTTTTAAAAAGCTCATGTGTTAAGCTACTATATTTATGAGTTTAGGCAAATTTTATAGTACAGTCCCACTAAGGTATTAGAACTCTTTTCATAGCATTGTGAATCCTACTCTTTGAGTTCAGTATATTTGCTTATAATGCTTGACCTGTTGGTCAAGTTCTTTTGTTCAAAGAATTTGTAAACATTCACTATGGAAAAACTTGAATGTGTGGCCCAACAAACTAGCTGCTGTTCTGTCTTTTTTCCTTATTTAGCAAAAAAAAAAAAAAAAAAAATTTAAGCTTTTGATTTTGAAATCGACTTATTTTCCCCCAATTCTTTGTGCTATTTTTTGTTATTACCATCAGTTATGGAACTGAAAAGACAGGTATTTATTTTTTTTTGCAAAAAAGAGGCTATGGAAAAATTAAATTCCTTATCACTAAAAACTATACCACACTCTTCCCTGTGCTTTTCCTCCTTCCTCTGTCCATTTCAAGCTCTTTTACTCCAGTTGAATTTTTTTTGCACATTGAAACCATTGCAGTCATTCCTAGCAGGGTTTAAAGTTTGGGCTTTGTGCTGGATTTAATTTAGAATCATTTTTAATTTCACAACAAGTTTAGATTTATAGAATTTTTTCAGATACTGGGGATTTCCAAACACCTACACCCAGCTTCCTTTGTAATTAACAATCTTACATCAGTATTTTGTTATAATGAATAATATTTATGATCAATATATTTATGTAAATATGGAACTTAAGTGATATAAATGTTTAACTGGCTACTATAGATAACAAACCAAAACCATTGCATTATTATTTACTGAAGTACATACTTTATTCATATTTCCTCAGTTTCCCTCTAATGTCCTTTTTCTCTTAATAAGTTTTAAGATTTTCCTTGGTTTTGATAATGATAGTTTAAAATCTTACTGGTCAAGAATTTTGTGAACTCTCTCAGTTGGGATAGCTGGTGTATTTCCCATTGTTAGACTTGGGTAGTATTTGGGTGGAGAAAAACCACGAAGATAAAGTGCCATTTTTGTCACATCATATCAAAGATCCCAGCGACATGCCTTTGATGTTGTCTTCGATCAGAGGATTAGTTTGTCAGGTGGAATTACATTTTCATTTTTAGCTGAAGACAAAGTATTTTCTTAAAGATTTTGATGATGCACTCATTACTTTATAAAGAAGGTAGCAGGCACTGACCCCCTATTTTTTCTTTACGGATAGCATTGTAAAATAGTTATAAATTTTTTTAATAACGAGACAAGAATAACTTCGGTGATGGTAAAAATATCGTATTTTTTTTTTCATGTGTTGTAGGTGGGAATGAGATCCCGAAACCAGGGTAGTGAAAGTTCATCCAATGGGCATATCTCCTGTCCCAAGTCCATCATCAGCAATGCTGATGATAAAAGTCTCTCAGAAGATACAAAAAAGAAGAACAAATCAAATAGAAAAGAGGATGATGTCATGGCCTCCGGAACTGTCAAACGACACCTAAAGCCATCTGGAGAAAGTGAACGGAAGAATAAGAAGTCCTTGGAGTTATCCAAAGAAGACCTCATCCAGCTACTTAGTATCATGGAAGGGGAGTTGCAGGTAGAGTCAAATTTTCTCAAAGATTGTGGTTTGGTTACTAAACTATAAAATAAGAAGCTATGAACCTGTCTCTTTAGATTGTAAAGTTCATGTGGAAAAGACTACATTTTAAAAATTTTATTTCTAAATCCCTTTTTGTGCTTGGCACAAGTTTGCACTGCAATAATACTTGCTGGATGAATGAATAAATCAAAGGATGCTGATTCTAACTCTGAATTTCTCTAGAAGCAGAAAATTTCTTTCAGTAGAGTTAGTAATTTAGATTTTAGTAATAATTTAACACAGGCCCCTGTATTTAGTACTAAGTATAAAGTACTAAGTACTAAGCAAGCTGTGAAACTTTCTAATTTAGGCATTGACTGTGGTTAAATACTGTAGAAAATTTAGAATTATTAGAAGGCAGAATTAAGACCATTTGTTACTTTTACTTTTTTCCAGAAAGAAAGATAGAGGGAAAGTCAGGGTAAAGAAGAGAGGAAAGGGCCCTCCCTGGTGGCGCAGCAGGTTAAAGCACAGCACTAAGAAGCTAAAGCCACTTCAGCATGAGTTCGACCCCTGCCCCGGAGGTGACCCACATGGCGCGGCAGACCTCTCCTGACCCGCCCGCTGCTCCCCTCTGCAGTGTACTTCGGCCATCTACCTGTTCTCTTCTCTACTCTGTCTCTGGTGAAGCCTTTCACCTCCACCCCTGAGCCTCTGGCCTATACCCCAGTTCTGTATGCACAAATAAATAAATCTTTAAAAAAAAAAAAGAAGAAGAAGAAGAAGAGAGGAAAGAAAGGGAAGAAGGGAGGGAGAAATGAAGACAGTGAGGGAGAGAGCTCTGCTCAAACTAACTTTGTTTAAACCAGCTTATTCTTTTCTCTTTTGCCATAACTTTCAGCTTTAATATTCTGTAACCTTGGAAAAGTTGAGATTCACTTAGATAAACAGAGCATTGCAGTGAAGACCAAATACTTTTACAAAACATTTTAAGTCTATTATTTCTTTTGATTCAAGTAAAAATGTAGGTATTATTGTCTATATTTATAATAAGGAAACTGAGCCCCAGAGGATTAGGTTTTGTTCAGATGTCATTTGAGGCCTCCTGGTTCTTACTCTTCCCACTGCCCATTCTCCCCAGGTTTCAAGCTGCTTGAACTAGGGCCTCACTAAGTGTTGTTTTTTTTAGGGATGCAAGCGGGAATTGGAATTCTTCTGAGTGTCAGAGTCCTGTACAATTGTATTTTTGGAAGTGGGAAAACAAAATCTTTTTTTTTTTGGTGAGAAGCTGACTCAACAGTGGAGTTGCTGTTTTCCTTTTGTTTTATTAGGTTTTTAGCTAACATGAGCCTCTAGGGGAATACTAACAATTGCAGTGATGAATCCTTTGTTAGCTGTCTGGTACTGTTAGCATAGAGATCATTTGCAACCTCGCCTAAGCTCCAGTGGGCTAGTTGATCTGTTCCTGCTCTCCTTTGTATGTGCATACAGATAAGGAAACCCCTGGAGTAAAGAGAAACAGGAAGCATGTAAAACTTCAGTTTAAAAAAACAAACATGACTGAGTTTACCACTTATGGCTGAGAAAAATCATATTTGCATTTCATAGCAAAAGATGAAAATTTCCAGAGTACCACTATTACCAAAAATAGCTTTGCCTCTCCCAGAAATGTTTTGTCTATTAACATTTATGGTGTAAGGGGGCAGAATATTACTCCAACTTTATAAGCTGCTTCCAGCTTCTAGTTATTGACCTGAGTGGAAGGTACAAAGATTACCTTTGGAAAACTTTACAAAACATTAGCTCACTTCTCCCCAGGGATAGTGATTCACGTGAAGCCCACGTCTGCCTTTTCTATTCTCTAAGTTCTATATAAAGCTGTTATATCAGGAGGGTTCTTTAAGTTTTTAAAGATTCATATGATTTCTGTGTTCATGGGTTGCCACATATGGTTCCAGGGTCTTGGCATGCAAAATATAAACCCTCACATACTCTGGATGTTAAAGAAATTAGCCATAAACTCTGAAGAAATGTATTTACCTTTCTACCAGTCCTATGAGTACAGGATAGCTTGTCTTAAATAGTGGATATATTCCTGAGCTGAAATAAATAAATAAAAATTATAAGATATCTGTGGATGAATCAGGGAAGAAAAAGAGAAATGAAAGACCTAGTATTGAAAGGAATTTCATTTGCAAGGAAAGTAAGCTATCCACCACTTATATATGCAAACACCCATATATATGTAAATCTTGTACTTGTAAATGCAAATTTTGCATTGTTAGATTTGCTAAAAATGAAAGCTGCCATTATGTGTTCTTGTAGCAGACACCTGTCCTTTATTAGCATTGTCACATGAGGGTGTATGTGTGCTAGAACTGAGAGTGGGAGGCAGTTAGCATTAGACAATGTGAGTGGGCTGGTGAAACTGTGGCAGCTATGTGCCAGGTTTTTCATACTAGAGATAAGGGGGAAAATCTAACTGAAACTGAACAGAGAGGAATGGAAGGGATAATATTCATGAAGTAAGTTACCCAGAGCTCAGGCCTAGATGCTATTGGGCTGGAAAGGTAGAAACACTTAATGAGTTGTCTCCTAGACCTTTAAGGGCCACCTATTAATCTGAGTGGCTGCATGTGACTCAAATATTCCTGCTCTGGAGGTGATCTAAGGTTCTACAAAATATTGGAACTGACATCTTTAAGGTGTCTTATCTACCTTGTTTATTCTACAAATATGAAACTGATGCTCTCTACAAATATGAAACTGATGCTCAACTTATGTAACCCCAAAGTTATACAGCAATTTCATAAAATTTTTTCTAGAGCCAAATGCCCTGTAAATTCGTCTAGTATCATCCCCACCATTCCATTTACACCCTGGAGATACTCAAGGGTGGGTTTGAGGACCATTCTATTTTTTACTTTGTCTCCAGACTTCCTTCCAAGTCTGAAGTCAAAGCCATTTTGTGAAAAGATGAGGCCCTTTTTCAAATAAAAGAAATTGAGGACGGTTTCTTTGACATCAGTAAGTAGAATGTGATGTCAACCTTGAAGCTTAGTGAGATCTAGATAGTGAAAAAAGTAGGGAAAGGTGGGGTGCCAAATAGCAACTACCCTGGCAGGTTTCACATTTACTATGTGTGCTCTGAAGTAGTGCAAAAGCTTAACTCTGGGGAGACAGGAACAGTTAACTGGTCAAAATAAATAAGAAGATTCATAAAGAAAAGGAATTATAATACCGGGGAGATAAGACCGTGCCTATTAAGAGAGGTACCCTGCAGAGGGAGCCATACCCTGGGGAAGGGTATGGCTCCCTCAGGCTCCTCACACCAATTTTCTCTTTTCAGACTTCTTTTTGGTCTCTCATTCTCTCCAACTTCATGCCTAGTGTGTTGGACTTTAAAGCAAATACTGTGTGTTTTCTGGTACCAGTAGTCTGCTACCTTTGCAATCTGTAGAATGATCTATGGGGATTGGTTGATGCAATATTAAAAAAAAAAAAAACATAGTCTTTGTTGTGAGCTCTGGCTTTTTGCAAAATTTGAAAATTTGTGGTTTTATTGGCTGGTCTGGGTATGCAGTGATCTCCTGAAGTGCATGTTTAGTGGAAAATGTATTAAAAATGGAGTTGCCTTTTGGAAGAACTTCTGTATCTTTAGAATCTTGTCTAGAATGGATGATGCCATGACCCTTGTCTTGGAGGGGGCATCTCCCAGACTTTTCAAGTCACACCTCAGCAGATGCATGCCTTCGGTTTCACCACGATGACTGGCATGCATTGCTAGCATAGAAATATCTGGGATGGTTTCCATTATGACACTTCTGTCATTGACTCCTTCCAGTAACAAGCACTTTCTAATAAATTGGAACATTTGTACTCTCTGGGTGAAAAACTGGATACATATTTCCCAAACTAAACTGAAATAATGAATAGTACACCCAAACCATCACTTGGGCACCATGATTAATTTCTCCTTGCACATGTCCAAAAATAGCACTTTAAAGAAGCCGGTCAAATTGGCCATACTAAAAACAACAAAAGTTCAAAGGAAATGGTATTCACACAAGAAAGTCATAATACAGAAAACTTGGCAGAAGGATACCCTTATAAAATGATTCAAAAACAGGATGCAAATAATATTTTTTGATGCAAGGGAGCTTATTTTATGTAGTAAATTCCAAAATAGTTCCTTAAATACACTTTAGAAATGCCAACCTCAAAGTGGGTTGTATAATTGTTGCCTTTGCTATTCTTTTCTACCGGTGTATAGGCAGCTTAGAGAAAACTACCATATCATTTGGCTTTGGTGTTTGTTCGGCTGTTAGAATCTTTGACATATTGAAAAATCTACTTTCATCTTGGGTGAGTGGCAGAAGAAGGTGTATTTCAAAGATGATTTACAAAATTGATAGAAAGACTCATGGATCATTAAACATTTGCTCTATTCTTTCTGTTTAGGATTTCAAGTAATTTTCTTTAATATTGTTTACTAGTTCCTGTTCACCTGTTCACCGCTTACTATAGGTGAACCCTTTATCTTTTTCCTGTCTTACCAGGAAAGTCCATTTATTCTTAAGGCATTTATTAATTAATTCTAAATTAATTGATCTCATAAAATTTAAGAACTGTTTCAGTGTTAGGAATCTGAGTTATGCAAACATGAATACCATAAATACTTGTAGCCAAAATTTAATGAACTCTTACTCAGTGCAAGCATGTTTTTAGACACTGAGTTTACAGCAGTCAGGAAAAAAAAAGAGCTAATGGTCCAGTAGAATAGATGACAATGTGCAGGAGTTAGTCTTTTGTGCCATAATTGTAGTACAACTTATGGGAGTACAAAGGATCTTGAAAATCTCAATAAAAAAGTGTACCTTGAAGAATTGGCAAGTTTTGGAAAGTTCAAGTAAGCTGAGGGACCAATATGAGCAGCGTGAAACACAAAGGTGGTAGAACAGTGAGACCACCTTCATCAGAAAGCTGTTTTGGTGGAGTACTTTGGAGACTGCAAATAA